TCCAGCTAGACGCGGAGGATGTGGTGTCTAAGGAGCAGCTCAGAGCTATTGCCACTGTTTTGCTCAGGAACCATCTCGCGGACGACCCAACTTCCGAACCGGAGTACGTTGAAAAGAACGGCGCTCTCCAAATAGCACGTGTTGTCGAGAATTTTGGAGTGGGTAACGAGATCTTGCTTCGGTCGTTGACCAGACAGTCTAGACAGCTAGCTGTCAAAGATGCGCCGCCCTTAGCCTTAACCGTTGGGACGCCGGGACTCCTCGACACTCTTCACTTTGTTGAGGACAAGAAGGCTGCGCAGCCTCTAGGGCAAGAAGAGATTGAGATCCAGACGCATGCCGTCGGCATGAACTTTAAAGATTGCTTGATTGCCCTTGGCCAGGTCCCGGGAACGACATTGGGAATCGAATGCTCCGGCGTGATTTTGCGTGCCGGCGACAACTCCGACCTTCAGCCAGGGGATCGTGTCCTCATGATTGCACCAATTTCCACACGTGCGCGGTGCCACTCGTCTGCGGCATGCAAGATCCCTGACAATATGACATTTGAAGAGGCGGCAGCTATCCCCGCGCAATTCGGCACTGCATGGGAGGTTGTTCGTGAACTAGCTCGATTGCAAAACGGCGAAACCATCTTGATCCACGCAGCGGCGGGAGGAACTGGTCAAGCTGCACTGCAAATAGCGCTCTATCTTGGGGCTATTCCCCTGGCAACGGTCGGATCGAAAGCGAAGAAGAAGTTGCTAATGGACGAATACAACATTCCCGAGGATCACATATTCTACAGCAGAGACACTTCCTTTGCTAGAGGAGTCATGCGTGTAACTAGGGGTCGTGGTGTCGATGTGGTGATCAACTCGCTCTCGGGGGAGGGCCTCGTTGCATCATGGCAGTGCCTAGCCGCCTACGGAAGATTTGTTGAGATTGGGAAGCGAGACATCATGGCCAACTCGAATCTTCCTATGTTTCCGTTCCGGAAGAACGCGTCTTTCATTAGCTTCGATGCAACAATCTGGCACAAGGAGAAGCCAGCGGAGGCGAGGCGGGACTTGAAGACACTGGTTAGCCTCTTTGCAACAAAGACATTCCACACAGCCCGGCCGCTCCATATTTACGATATCGCCGAAGTCGAAACCGTGTTCCGCCACATGCAAGATGGTAACATCCCGGGAAAGATGGTCATGAAGGTAACTCCGGAGTCTCGGGTCTCGACCATACTAGAGACTAAACCCAGCTTTTCCCTCGATCCAGATGCAACTTACGTCATTGCGGGCGGTCTGGGTGGTCTAGGCCGAAGCGCTGCACGGTGGATGGTCAGCAGTAATGCGAGAAATTTGGTGCTACTCTCGCGATCGGGACCACGCACTAAAGTCGCCCAGGAGTTTCTTGCTGAGCTAAGGTCGCAAGGAGTTCGAGCTGAGGCTCCAGTGTGCGACGTTACTGATTTGAAGGCCATGAAAAAGTCTTTCTTGGAAGATCTAGCCGACATGCCGCCAGTAAAGGGCTGTATCCAAGGGTCAATGGTCCGAAGAGTAAGCCGGGTTCAGCCTGATTACCATTGTGCACTTGGTAACTGTTATTATAGGACGATTTGCTCGAAAACATGTCTTTTGAAGCATACAACGTCGGCGCAGCCTGCAAGACAATCGGTTCCTGGAATCTCCACACAGTTCTCGGGAAAGGCCTGGACTTCTTCGTTTTCCTATCCTCGGCCTCAGGGCTGGTTGGACTGCGCGGCCAGACTAACTATAACGCGGGCAACACGTTCGAGGATGCCTTGGCGAGACTACGCGTATCTCAGGGTGAAAAGGGGATATCTCTGGACCTTGGCGCCATGATCGATGACGGACTTTTAGCGGAAACTCCCGACCTCTTGAAGCGCGTATTGGTGTATGGCGCCCTAAACCCTGTAACCCGCCAGCAATTCTTCGCCATACTTGACTACTATTGCAATCCCTCGCGGCCGGTAGCAAGTCCCAAAGATGGTCAAGTCATCATAGGCTTGGGCACCGGCGGCGGAACGGGTTTAGATGCTGTAGATCTCAGCCGCCAGCCCATCTTTCGGCATATGGCGGCTGGCGAGAGCTCGGGTGCCAATTCAGGTGCTCTGACAGACGATATTAATTACGCTAAGCAAGTTTCAGAATCACAGACGCTCATGGAAGCCGGAAATATCATCGCTGAGGCGCTTGTGGATCGCCTATCAAGATCACTTTCAGCGATGGAAGACATCGAGGTTGACATCCACCGTCCGCTCCACACCTACGGTGTAGACTCGTTACTTGCTATCGAGCTGCGCAGGTGGATTACCAAAGAATTTAAAGCCGAGGTTGCAGTATTTGAAATTGTTGGCGGGTCTACGTTCTTAGCACTCGCAATGTTGGTTGCTGGTCGGAGTGGAATTAAGCATCCAGCATGGCATATGTAAATCTCGAGAGCTGGCATTTCTTATTATGCTGAGGTTGTGTGTTTGTTTGTACTGAGGTTGGGTCAGGTGGCTGCAGAGAGAAGATGCTAGGGGGGTGCCTAACGAAATTTATCTATCTGGAGGCTGTGGAGTATACCTGCATATGGAAAAATGTGCTCTCTGATAAGAAGTCTTAAGGCAAATACTGTAGTGTAATATACTGCAACTTAAGCAAGAAATAGTCTAACTTATAGCTAGCTACTTGATCTGTAATACATGTGTTGAGACCTATTCTCACCCTGTCGAACCCTCTATGAGTTTGAAGGATACATATCTGTTGAATAAGACCGGATATAGTGAAACTATCCTTAATCATCTAAAGCCAGTCATTTAATTGGTTTTTTCAAAAAAAAAAAAAAATTCACTAGCTGCATCGGTCGCAGGCTCCAGAGCAGTAGACATACCAGAACCAGCGGGATCTCCTTCTTCGTAGATAGTAGTCACACAATACCACTAACAAGTTTTAAGCGATAAAAGTTGCACAGATGCCGTTCGAGGCGCTCTACTAACTCCATTGACCAAATTTCGTGTCACACGGTCGCCTGTCGGGTACCATTAGTACATATCTTATTGGAGAAGCCATGCTCTTTGCTGCCGATATTCCTGGGTTTCTTCAAGTGGTTTTCAACCTTGACAGTGTGATCCCTCCTTGTTCTTGTAGTCATATCTCGAGTCAGCTACGAAAATGCCTGCTCCATCCCTGTGGATCGCTAAATGGTTTCCGACGAGTCTTCACTCACCGGATCGCGGTCGCTGCCTTTCCAGCGATGATTACTATATATCGCACTTAGCTGCACAATGAGAGCCGCGAGGCTCGCGGCTAAACCGTCTGTGCCGAAGAATTTGGTTTAAAAGTGTCGCCCTCCTCCTCAGCGATGCAATTGCCCTTGCAGAGCTCCACGGTATAGCCCAGTAAGATGAATTCAATGCTGCGCAAAGCTTCCGTCCAGTCATATGTGGGGCAATCAGGCTTGGCTGGTGCGCCTCTGAAAATACTGTTGAAAATCATTGAATAGTCGAAGGGATGATACGAGCTGAGCGCTTATCCACTCGATATACCGATATTGTGCGCCGAACAAAATACGAGTATCTGATCTCGTCCCAGACAGTGCGTTCTAGCGCAGCCTGCAAGCGGTTCAGTTGCGTACCGTCGCTATTCTCTGCGGTAGACACGACAGCCTACGGAAATCCTCGCTCCTAATAGCACGGATCGCCTGGCTTTGGTTGTAAAGCTCGCTTTCTCTTAATCGAAGTTGCATTCGAGCTGATTGGGCTTCTTCGGCTTGGACTGATTCGGGTTTGAATCGCGTCCCTTCTCACTACGGGTCGCCGCATCTAGGTCGTGCGGGCTTGGAAGACGACTCGAAGCACCTTCACATTTAACATGGTGCTTAGTCTACGAGACTCGCTTGCTTGATACAGGATTTGCGGATATTTCTTTGCCACAAGTGAGGCGGTGCTGCCATTCGTCAATTCAATCGTACCAACCCGGCTGAGTCTAGCCGCGATTTATCCGCAAGTCTCTTCGATGCAACTTGCTATTACAACTATAAGCCTCTTTCCTTCTATCTGACGGCTCCTGCGTAGGGTTGCCTCATAGAAATTAGTGTCGCTTGTCGATATCGTGTCGCAGCCTACAGTCTGAGCCAACTAAGGGTCATTGACGACGCACTAGGATGGCCACAAGAACATTGCCAGTTCAGCTTTCACCCGGCCAGGACTTTTTGCAGGTCAGAAGTCGAAAGGGATTTCACGAAGAAGATATTGAGAGTTATAGTGCACAAGCGGCTGAAGCTTCTCGAATTATCTGCGCAGACTTCTTTGTAGAAAATAAATAAACTTACCACGTGCACTAGCATCCCCTAGTTCGTCGACCTAAGATCACACACTCTAAGGGTCTCAGTCCCAACCCATTGTGTTGTGCTGCCACGGGGCTGGACCTCTAAATCGGTAAATTATAATGAACCGACTAGGATCTGGTGAGGCCATGACCCCTAATTTGGTAGCGTTTTGACCTATATCGCTTGACATGTCTCGTAAATTCCTGACACCAGGCTACATTATAGAAATATGCCGGAAAACAGTGCAAGACTACTAGCGGGGGCTAGATTCCACCCATGTAACTAGAAATGTAGAGGTTGTCAGAACAATGGCTCGCAGATTTTTCTATGCCCCGATTTACCACAACACACTTGGCAAACACCAACTTCTCGTTCTCCTGTCACGGCAAGCGTACTGGTCAACGTGGAGGCTGAAGTTAACGAGATACTGAACCAAGCAGAGAAATAACCAAAACAACTATGATCCACCCCCTTACAACAGCGCACACGCCGGGGAGTAGCCCCTGCTTGAGCAAACTTCGCGCCTGTTGTATTAGGGATATAGGGGAAGAGAAGATGCCACGTTAGCTAGATAGGATAGCAGCCAGCCGGCAGCAGGGCAGGACGCGATTATATTTTAAAAAAAAAAAAAAAAAAAGGCTACCTACTCCGTAGCGGGAGAAAATACGATCGGAAATAAAAAAGGGAATTTTCTCGGATACCGGGAATCGAACCCGGAGCTAACGAGTAATGTGCACACTGGCACTGAAAATCGTTGATGTTAACCGTTACACCATACCCGACTGCGGACTGAACGCTGATTGACGGAAATTATAAAGTGTTATTATAACTGGCTACGGGCCCAACGCCGCCTTCGAACTGATGACTGGCGGTTTTACCGAGGTTAAGCCGTTCACGTTTTCTTCTACCTTTGTACTCCATAATCATTGCAAAAATTTACGCTAGGGCGATGAATGCCACACGTCCTATGAAGACTAGTCACTGTGTGGATGGCAATCTTAATCTCTTTTTTTCAATACTCTACTCCCTAATGTCCGCTAAGCTTTAAGTGCTGAAATGCTGAACTGCTGAACGTTAGTGCCTCCTTGCTGTAACCTAGTGCTTGTATCGCTAATCAGAGGATACTATGAAAAGTAATCTTATATAAACTGTAGTTAGCTAGCCTGACCATCTTATTCATCTTTGCTTATTACGTAAACCCTTTGAAAGTGACCTCTGTACGTTTCTCTGGTATCCGAGAGACCCATTTTCTTTTTTCTTTCCTTGTTTTCATGTTAGACTTAGCGAAGCGCCTCGCTCGTGGAGCGACTACGTTTCCAAGCACACGCCAATGCCCTCTGCGATCCCAAGTACTCGCTCTTCAGGCAACTGTCGCTGAATAACGCGGACTGCCACACGTGTCCGGTGGCATTCTTCATGATCAGCTAGAATAGGCATTAGCATTGCTGCCTCGGAAGGCAGGGTTATTAACCACCACCCACACTCATCTTAAACCTCCTTGTCCATCACATTGCTCGGGATATGGTCCTGATTATTGCCATCAAGGACCATGTCTCCGAATTTCATATGGACGAAAATATTCGTAAATCCAGAAGATTTATTACGATGGCATATACATAGTACTTGAACTAGCTGTGATGAACGGTAGCAGTCAGAGCGATTGGCACAATTATAGCATCGATCTCGGTGCCAAGTTCCACTTCTTTCAACCGCCATTGCTCTATTTATTCGTACTGGAGCCCTTTCTACCATATCTAGTGTAGTGTGCTTTTAGCCATTGAAGCTCTTAAAAAAACCTAAAACTTAGTATCTAGGTTGCGGTAACTTAAAGCTAAATATTTATAACTCTACGAACTATAGAAACAAGGCCGATCACGCCCTTGGCTGAATTTGAAAAACAGTTCGACCTATCCCCCAGACTCTAGACACCTTCGATGCTTTGGGTCGACACCTTTGGTCGCTGCGATAGTACTGAAATAACCATTGCTGTTGAAGATGCCGACGTATTCATTGCAGCTACCAAGTCCCTGGCCCAAATGGGCGTAGTTATTCATGGAGCAGTCCGGAAACCCCGTTCCCACGTGCGGCCTTCGCACTCTGGAAAGTCTATGCAACGTTACTAGCTCGACGAGAGCTTATTTTGACAAGGGGATTTAACTATGTGAACGTGATGGCTATGCCGATGACACTGCCTGCAAGAGACAGAATGGTGGTAATAAGAGCGGCAGAAAACATGGTGTTGAAATGCATAGTTTCTACGAGTCTTGGAATAGTGAGAACTGAATCTTTGCTCTGTGTTTCTCGAGTAAAAGAACAGCAGCACCAACATGAACATCGACGGTTGGAGGTCTTATATTTTTAGTGTGGTCTATACAAACAAGGACCACGGTTAATGTCGGTAGATTGAGAGTTTTTGTTGTAAATCTAATATAATAAGCCGACAGATGTACAAAACTTTGTTGTTCTTACTCGATGTAGACAAAGATGCCAACTCACCAACATAGAGGAATAGCAGAACTGAACCATGTGTATAATTCCCGAAAACTTTGTTCGCTTGACATATCTACAACCGGTTCGTATATTTGGTTTTTAATAACAATAATAAACTTATGGTAACTTTTTTAGGCTTTTTAAAAATTCTATTAAGCGAGAAAAGAAAAAGTGCGGAAATATTATAAAAAAAATTAATTAAAAGCTTTACTGATCGAATTATTTATGATAGAAAGTAGATGAAAGTTGTTAAAAACTTAAGTGAGAATTGATGCTGTTAGAGAGCTAAGAAATTCTCGATTTTGTCTGTGTGATCCATCCACTTGCATGATCCACCCACTTACGGATTACGTTAGGTAGCTCTATTTATCTGTCTTAAGACAAGGCTGCTCTATTGGTATTTTATATTACATTTCTTATGTTAAAAACAAGTAGCCTAACGAAAGATTGCTGCTGTGGCTTCGTTAATTGAGCTACTCACTAACAAGCTGTTCCTGTTTCTTCTCAAAATATCCGAACTTTATAATGGTGAGGCGACGAACTGTTCATTAAAAGACGGGATAGCTCTAGCTAACCTTTAGCATGGAACACACCTTTCCTGGATCAACATAATGAATACGTCATGGGTGAGTCGACATTGTGTCTATATACTATCCCGAGGATCAAAACCTGCCGTAATCTCTGCAAATTATTGCCGTTGCCTTGGAGATAATATTTTGGGTAGCACGTCTTCGACATCTGAACCTACTTGGGACTTCGCTGAATAGTCTCCATACTTAGAAGATCCATTTGGAACATGGAAGCGCAGGTCAATCCTCCCAATCGCATAAAAGAAGACTACCAGTATCTCCAATGAAAATCCCGTAACGTAAAAGGTAGCTCTGCAAAAAATAATGCTACGGTCCTCGGTGCCAGACGGTACTGGGTCAATGAATGTTGCCAATCGTACTGCTGCTCCAATCGCGAGCGTGATTGACGAGTAGACCAGGAGTGTAATTTTGAGCCGAAGTGGGCCGGCCCCAAACCTCTCCACCTTCGGCCCAGGAAATGAGCTTGCCAAAAGCAGCGCGACAGCAGGCAAAGCTGCTAGCATCATGTTCCAAGATGCACCGACTTTTAGTATCGTGTCTGTCGTCAGCAGTTGCTTTTCGTTTTCTACGCTGAAAAAGCCGACCGAGAGCGCGACAATGTTAACGATGATGACTAATGGGGCTGACAGAGCCAAGGCGGCGCCAAGTATACCAAATGCGGGGTGCCAACCAAATCGAGGATGCATAGATCGGATAATGCGTTGGAGCAGGATCACGTTGACGGCAAAGAGAACAGCAGCACTGTTCTTCAGAGTCAGTCTCGCCAATCATAGCTATGCAGAGGGCGGTTATGGTAGAGCTCACCCTCCATTCTCAAATATCAGCGCTGTGAGGATAACGCCTCGGGCCGGAAGGAAGATCCAGATGATACGGAATATGCACGTAAGTGTGCGAATCATGCAAAAGTCAAAGACCAAGTCCGACAAGAGAAACTTATGGCCCCTCTTGGAATTAAATCGATAGATGCAGATGTGCGTAATTGCGCCAACTGCAAACAGAACGAGGAACGTAATAGTTGCTGGTAAATCGATTTCGCTATTGGGCGTTGAGCCAAGAAATGGTCCCGTGGCAGGATCAACCCGAGCCTGGGCTCCACTCGGCGGTAATGTGCCTCCAAAAGTTGTCCCTAGAGACGGCGAGCCCGATGGAATGCTAGGACTCGGAAGACTGACAGTTACCGATGATACCAAAGTGACCGTAGAGGGTTCCGCTGTCACGGTTTGCGGTGTAGCAGTGACTGTGGTTGGCCGAGGGGAAGCTGTGACTGTGAAGGGAGACGTAGTTACTGTTACCAGCTCTTCTGTCACAGTTTGCGGTGTAGCAGTGACGGTGGTTGGCCGAGGGGAAGCTGTGACCGTGAATGGAGATGCGGTTACTGTTATCGGCTCCGCTGTCACGGTGATAACCTGTGGCGGCAGAGGGGACCTTGGCTCGGTAACAAGGACGTCCTCAGTGGAGCTTTTTGTCTTAGGTCCTTGCGTAAAGGTAGTGGCGGCTTCAGCTTCTAGCCGTTCGGTGACTAGCGGAGAGTCGTTAGCCAGCTGCTGGATACTCAAAACCTCACGCATGGCGAATCATTTCGCCACTACTAGTGGGTTAGCACTTGCTGTTTCGTTTTACGGCAGCCGTGGGCACGCCTCCTAGCATGACCAGCCACCAATAAACATCGAGCCACCTCATCTGGTCGATCGAAACAGAACTGTTTTCTCAGAGCACTCGGCAGAGCTGAATTTGTGCAAAAGGACCGGCAAAATAATAGACCGATTAGGCTCGAAGAGTCAGTTTTAAGACCCCTATTATGGAAGTGAACAGACTCAGTTATAACCTTCGAAGCGTCTCGACCAGGTTTCTTCATCGTGCAGAGGTGAGGTCAGCAAAGTCGGAGCTCGGGCGTCAATGTGGATACCGGATCATGGATTCCGTCATTGCGCTCCCCGGCCGTGGAGTGTTCGTCCAAAGTCAAAGACGGCGCGTAATCGGGCGAGGGTACAGGCGATAATTCCGGTGCCGAATTACAGAGAGCGGCCACGTGGACCTCGCCTCTAGATGACTGATATATGCTGAAGCACCCGTGGACGCGAGCAACCTATTGTTTCAGGTTAGCGCAGGTGCCCCAAGTGGTCAAGACTGAAACATTCGGACAACACTGAAAGGAAACTCACCTGGTACGTGCTTGGACTGCTCCCGGTATCTAAACGATCCGAGGTGAACTATTTTTTCCTCTACTTTTTCCAGTAAAAATCGTATGATTCTAGAAGCTCGCTGTCTAGATGATATACCTCAAAATGGCAATTTTTATAGAACGTAAATGTCGGGGTCACGTGATCAGCGTAACACATTCGCGCCAAGACCTATAAAAACGGTAGCCTCTGTATGAGAATCCCAGTCAGGGGATGTATCATAGCTCGAGGAGACTAACAGCTTTGCCTCCTATGGGAAATAGAACAAACTTATCCCTGATGAGATTAATGTGCTGGGCTTTAGCTTGGGGCTACAGGGATGAGGATTCCGGTTGGTGGATACCTCAAATACGCCTGGAAGATGCTAGCTACGCTCAAAATCTAGACAACTTTGTGATATGTTTAGGCAGATAAAATATTATGGTCATGAGCATTGAAGTTGGCCTAGAACCCGCGTTATTTCCCTTACATTTAGATGCCATAAAGGAAGAAGAAATAGCAGGATTATATGTACGGGATAAG